TTGGGCTGGGCATCTGAAATGAGCATAGTGAATACAAGACAGGAAGACAAGGGAGAGAGAGAGAGAGAGAGAGAGAGAGAGAGAGAGAGAGAGAGAGAGAGAGAGAGAGAGAGAGAGAGAGAGAGAGAGAGAGAAGAGAGGGAGAGCAGGAGAGCGGGAGGGAGAGAGAGAGAGAGAGAGAGAGAGAAAGAGAGAGAAAGAGAGGGAGAGCAGGAGAGAGAGAGAGTTCTGCAAAGTGTGTGTCCCTGTGGATATTAATCGGATTTCTCTGTGCATCGACTACGACGAGACTAATGCCAAGCTACTGACCGTTACTACTCGTCGAGTGTCCCGGGAATCAGCCATTACCCGTGCATATTTATTGAGTTTATTTCTTTCATATCAAACATATATCAGCTGGTTTCTTGAAATTGTTTGGTCTGTTATTTATGTTTAATGATCTTACTCTTATTACGATATTTACTTATTTTTTAAAGTTTCATATTATGAGAATGATGGGAGGGAGAGGGAGAGGAGAGAGAGAGAGAGAGAGAGAGAGAGAGAGAGAGAGAGAGAGAGAGAGAGAGAGAGAGAGAGAGAGAGGGAGGGGGGGGGGGGATGCGTGAAACGGAAAGTGGGGGATGTCTGTATACTATAGGAAAATACTTTCAATATAAATACCCATCCAAGAGTGAACCCAAGCAAACCAAAAATTCAGGTAACTTTTTTTGACAGCTACGAATCATAAAATCTTTTTACAAATAGGTTTCCAGTGGTGATGTATTCCTGATAATTTTCGGACGGTAGCACGAACGGGATGCCCAAGATGGTAAGTACTAGTTTGTGATAATCCATATTATAGTATTCTTTTACTTAGACATAGTTTGATATAATTGTTTTATTCCTTTTGTGGGAGTTTTCTCAGCCGAATAGTTTTACACCATTTTACTTCGTAAGGGAATGTTTGGCGTAGAGCGTCTTGACATGTCATGAAAGGAAATATTCACCATGATGCTTTTTGCGCTTTTAGTTGTGGCCCTTGGGAGGAAACGTGGCACTGGCCAGCCTTTTACAAGTAACATAATAACCATGAAAGTTCTCACAATACACATTAGTCAATACTGAACAGTGCATAACTCAAAAATTAAAGAGAAAGAGAAAACACAAGGCCATAGAGGCTGTCAATAAGTATCTTACACACAGGAGGAAGCACATACCCCTGTCAGGACGGGAAATTGAGACAGCAACAGCAGCAGCAGCAATAGCGACAGACGAAATCCCCTCCATAACCACCCAAGGAATCAGCCCCCTGCCACTCCCATCGTCTCCTACGAAGCCATGCCACCAAAGCCTATAGAGGCAGAGTCACAGACAGACAGAAAGCACATAGCTGGAAAGTGTTTGCCAGTTCTACAAATGTTCAATCTGTGCTGTGGGGTATATTGCAGGTTTGTTACCTGCCCATCAAGACAGTAGCAACAAGATGCCCAGAAGAAACACCGGCCATTCAGCGCGACAACAGAAGAGACCCTCGCTACCATCCCCCGCATTAACACCATCCCTACAGCAAAAGCCGCACGGTGTCCTTTGGAGGCTCCCAGCTATTGACAGCCCCCTCTCTTCTTTAAACCTTCCCACCAGGCCATTACTCTCTCTACCCCCGGCTTTAGATGGGTTCCTTGAAAGTGCATGGCCTTATTGCCTTTTCTGCATGGCAGAAGAGGCAATACGATAAGGTAGGCTCGTCACTTCACCTCCCCTAGCAACGCCAGCCTCCATCACATGAGAGAGAGATAGAGATAGAGAGGGATTGGAAGTACCTCTACATCGGTAGGATGGCGGGTGGCACCCCCTAATCGCGGTGCTCTCCCATTGAGGCACCAACGGAAATGAGGAAGACGACAAACATGAAGGTGGGGCACAAAAGTACACTCTACATGTCATCAATACTCACAGCCATACTCTTTAAGAGGAAGGAAAAGAAATGCCAAATGTATCTAATGACCAGGAAGCAAAAGTAACATTCACCAACAGACTGATTACTTGTCGCGCTCGCGCTCTCTCTCTCTCTCTCTCTCTCTCTCTCTCTCTCTCTCTCTCTCTCTCTCTCTCTCTCTCTCTAGCAGATACCTGGAGATGACACTAACACAGAAAATAGGTTGCCAGTATATTCCTCAGTGTCAAATATATTACGAAGGGAGAGTTGGAACCGATACAAAATCAGCAGTGAACAACAACAGCAATTTTGGCAAAAGCAACTGTTTCATTAACCCGGTCTTTTAGCGAGACTGGTAAAGCCGAAATGGAATTTAATTGCTGATAATAGTAGCTCCTCCACGTGAAGACAATATACTGATACCATAATAGAGACTATGATATCTTATGTAATTTGTATCAGGAAAATTTACAGGGCGAGCCAAACAGTGTTAGAATACATGAGAACCATTGAGGCTCAGCCTCGGAACTGTTTATGAAACCGAACTATGATATCGTGTCTCACAGGTATTTTTTCGTGTGCTGAGCAAGTTTCATAGTCCCCCATGTATACCAAAGTAATAGAGACGTTACAATCAGCAACTGGAATGTCATCCAATAGCATACATGATAGGTTTCACGATAATATATTTACACTGGATCCTAGTATGCATTTAACGGAGAAATATTAATAAGCGTTCAGTGGTTCTCCAAACTTGATGCTGTCTTCTTCATTCCCAATGAGTATAAAGTCCTTATTCTGTTCCAAGACCTACATGCTCATGACATTTTCTCTTAACCTGACCCTGAATATTTCATGCTTAATACTGACTCTTGTTTTGGTGCAATGACATAACCATATTCTAAAGCAGTGGTTTCCAACCTTTTTCATTCTGTGGCCCCCGACCAGTACATAATAATCTCCATGGCCCCGTTCACTGACTGTCATCTTTTCAGAATCAGTTAATGCTAGTTATGAGTAGTGCAATGGTATCAATAGCTATAGGACAAGAACACTTTATGAAATTTATTGATATGTGAGAGGTAATTAATTATATGTAGGTTCAATTTGACGTCAAAATTTTCATACTACGCCATGGTCCCTCTCAAAAAGTACCCCGTTACTCCCCAGTTGGGAACCCCTGTGCTAAAAGAAACTGCTGCTGGCATAATAGTAACATTGGCTACCATACCTGTAAATATTATTGACGGAGTATCTAGTCCTATTCACATCCTAGTTGTTGGCACAGATCGTATTTATGTACATAAGGTATGTGTTTGCACTGACAAAACCACTTCTAAAAATCTACCCACCTCTCTCACTGTTCATCTTCAGTAACAAATGACTGTTAATTAATAAAATTGACAATAATAGTTGGTAATGAAAAGCCATACCTTGGCCTCAATTCTTTAATTGAATAAATCAATTTTACTCAGGTATGGTTGCACTGGGAAGAGGGAAACGGTAAAATATTGCAGACTTCAGCAGTGATAGTATATTGTTAAATCATACTGTTACCACCTTTACAATGAATGACGATGTGAAAATGCTACAGTTGAGTTTGTTTATGTGGGACATCTCTATTAATTTTTCTTCCCCTACCATTTAAGTTCCTGCTGTCTCCTCCCCCCATCTCAGTTTATGTTACCTTTATTCTCTTCAACTAATTTCTCTTCTTCTTAATATGTATTTAATGTAAGGTGTTTACTTTTCTCTTTAGGAACATTAAAGATATTCAAGAACATTAATGGTTTACACAAACTAGATCTTGTGGGTAAATTGTCATATTTAGAAATAAAAGGTTATGAAGGGTCCTTCATACTGCATACTATATATTACAATTTATTTAGCAAGCTAATTGTCTATTGCATAATATTTCAGGCACTTTTAACTTGGAATCTACAAAGATCATTAATAGCACAGACTGTTTTTATAAATTTAGGAACTAAAGTTACAAAATCATCTGTCTCTGGAAAATGGCTATGGAAAAGTATTTGTTTCCAGTTATTGTAAATAATAAGAGTATATGATCTATAATATTGATATGGGCGGATACTGACATGTGAGACAATCCTGCATGAAAAACTTTCCTTCATTGTATACTTTGTGATCATTAAACTGCTTACGGCATGTGAAGTATTATATAGTTTTAGTATTATTTCTTTAGGTTTGTAACAGGCTCCAGTTTCATCTCACATTGCCAAAAAATGTATTTGTTACCATATGGCCTGGTTTTCAGTTTAGTGATACATGGAAATTATTTGTTTTTGTACTAAAACTCCCTTAGACTTTTTTTTTTTTTTTGGAAAAGCATAGCATATACAGCACTATGCATAATCTCTCATAACAGAAAGGTTTTAGACAGTAAAAAGAGGTGTTATGCATATACCTATTGTGATGATGATTTGGTTTTGTACCAAGAAATCACTCAGAATTTTGTAAATGTTTTGTCTTTTTTTTTGTAAAAGCATAACATACACAGTACTATGCATAGTCAGATACTAATGACAAAATTTACTGCGCAATCGTTTGTACTTCTGTGTTTATGATAATGCATAAGAACAGTATACTCTACAAAGTTGATAATTTTCCTACATATATATATATCTCTCTTTTGTATTCACTTCTCTAGTTTTATTTATAGTAATATGTGATTTATACCTTCATATATTTTTTTCATACAAAGGCACTACTTGTCAAAAAGCTTTCCAAATCACAGTGGGGAAAAAAAAAATGATAGCAGGCTCATATATGCTACATAACAATAGCAACAACAAGAATAATCAATCAAAGAGAAAAAATGTAACCAGTGAATTATAATAAAGGCAACTAAAATGCATTAACTTTCTTTTTATACTTACTGCAGGGCAACGTTTTCCAGTTCAGAAGAGTCGGGACTTTTGAAGTTCAACTGTACAGAAACAATGATATGCTCCTACTTACAACTGTAAAATACCATGTAACCAATTTCGGTTAACATTGTCTGTCACAATGGACTTTTAAAACAGACACTTAAAGGTAGCTTGAAGTGGTTAAAAGAAACAAGTTCATGTTTTAAAGACATATATATGGCACAGCATACATGCATTCCAAGTATGTTTTAAGAGGCAGGGATTTGTCATACACTTAAGATTTCACATTTAACTAAAGTTTATTTTTCCATTTGCTGAAGGAGGAAGCCATTAATAATAATGATTATAAAAAGGAGAACACAGTTTATTAAATTCTTATACTGGTAAATATCTACAGGTAACTTCCCTTTTGCCAATTGACATTTTTTTTTTCTTGGACTTGCTTTACTACAAAATTAATAGGCAAAAGAAATATGTACATGTATAAATATCTTTTTTGTTTATAAATGCCTGAAGCTTTCCATGGAAATGTTTACTCACAGTCTGTGGACTGCAACACTGATCTCTTTCAAACATGCTTTAAAATGCCATGAACAAATAATACTTTATTACTATAAATGAAAATCTGGGATCTCATTTCCTTCAAAAGTGATCAAGACAATGATACACAAAGGAGAAGGTACTGTTAGGGAGTATGAAGAAATACAGATGGGTACAGAGAAAGGACAAGGATAAGCTAAAGAGAAAGATAAAAAATACTTTAGGGGAAAAAAAAAATCAATATACACATCAAGACCAATATAACAGGTTTTAAGTAGGTCAGTGTTTCACTTTGAATTGAAACCTTTATTTCTGTCTTTTTGACTGTTTCATCTAATAAGAACTTTTGTGCACAAGTTTGATTTACATGGATAGCTTTTAGACTAATCAGCATTTATCTCATTCATTTACCACTCCTTCTTCTATTATTAAAGAGTTGATTGTGCATATGGGTAAGTTTACCTACAGAGCTATCAACCAAGGATTACTAATTTCTTTAATAATTTTTTTAATGATATAAATGTTTGTATTTGTAACTGTAACTGTATCCAGAGTACTAATGGCAATAGCTGTGACTAGGAAAGATTGGCAGCTCTGTATGTGTGAGTTATAAAAGGATCCACTATATTCCATTCACATCCAATAGCAGAAGGCAGTACAGAATATCTGCCCCTCTAAATTAACCCTTTGTGTGTGTGTGTGTGTGTGTCTTTTTTATATACTACTAAATGTGCAAAATTTGAACTCTCTTTGCCACATGATGACGACAGTGCATAGAGAAAGGCCATTATATTTTTTTGTGGACTGGGACCTGGAAGTAGTCCTTTACAAAATTTGGTAATTCCATTCTAACAGATTTCTTGGGGCACACAGAGGATTAAGAAGAAGGCCTTCAGATATATGTCAAAAAAGAACACACTCTAAAACTTGGAATGTAATGTATCTCATTTTTTGTACTTACTTTGGCAAAAGCAACTGTTTCATTAACCCGGTCTTTTAGCGAGTGGCACAACTGACTGAACTATCACGAGTAGTACAGTCTTCCTTAGTTGTTAACCTTTTATGCTTTTCTTTTTAAGTGCTAACCATTTAATTCACTACTTTGAAAAATTGTGTAATTATCTACCGAAATGGTCCTGCTGCCAAAAAACATGGATTTACACAAATAGTTGTTGAAGAGAGACACTACAATGAATTTTCTAAATATGAATACACCACTTACATGTAACATCACACTATGCATGGAGAAAAAAAAAACATAATAAAAAAATTGAGGTATAAAAAATAAGTAGGTGATACACCTAAATGATTCATTAAAAAAAAACGTCCCCTAGTTTATAGAGGCAATTATTGGAAAAAAAGAGTTATGACTAAAAATATGATTAAAAAATGCAGTAATATAGTTAGTCTCTGCTTGAGCACAAGTTGCCTTCACATGAATATTTACCATAATTCTAACAGAATGACCAAGTACTGCATTACTGTAATATAGAACCCTCAAGCAGAGAATATGCTTTCCTTGAAAATATCACATAACAGATATCAGATTGCATCATTAAGACTCGTCTATGGAAATAAAAGAAAAAAATATGCATTATAAGCAGAACTTATAACAAAAAACAGAGGAGTTGTAACTAAAATGCCCTTTAAGTGAAGGGTTGCCCAGTTTTTAACTGAACACTGCCTTCACACCATTTAATAATATGGCTTCTCTTCTAACAAGACTCATCTTCATAACCTACCAGACCATATAATAAGCATACGCCTATTCTGGACAGAAAAAAAATGCTTCCTCCTTGAATATCTGGCTCTATGTGTGGAATCACTAAAACATTTGCAGTACCAACTATGTTGCTACCACAGATATCACTACAGAAGTTGGTGGCAATAACTACCTGTTTTACTTGTTAAATGCTCTCTGTTGTGATGATCTCATCAAGCTAAAATAATATATAAACATAAAAATGACCAAAATCATTATTGCTGGTGTAAATTACAGCTAGTGCTTTCTCAAACTGTACAAATCAGATGGTAACCTACTAACTGTATCAATACCATTACCTAAACACAATTGTACATACCTAAAACAATCTAGTTGAAAACAAAAACTGCCTTTTTCACTTTTCTTGCAATAAGTAAAGGAACTGCTCTGACAACCAATCAAGTTTCTAACTTTGAAAGAGAGCCATATTGACTTCTGTACTTGTATTAAGACAATGTGTCACACTGACAATGTTTTTTTTAATGCCTACTTGCAACAAATGCATTTACAATGCTGAAAGAAAATAAATCAAACTGAACATCACAGTTTTGGATTTACACTTCAACTCTAAAACACAACACTATGATATAGATGCAGAGCACATAAAGCATTGCTCCTACTTTAATATTTGTTGTTGGTTTTCTGATTTACAATAATAATTAATTATTATAACAAGGTACAAAGTTGTATCAACAAGAAATTTAAAATTTTTATACTTTGGTAAAAGTACAATATATATACAACTTGACATAGAAAAGCTGGTACTGCTGTTGATATCCATCAACATCCCCCAACGTGAACAACTCTAACCTCTTTTTCATCCCATTCTGGGATGTTTCCTACGTAACTTATCTATTTTTGTGCTATTGTCAACCTAGTTTTTTCTTCTCTATCTCCTTAAGTATGAATCTGGTAAAATTTCTTTAAAACTGCTGCAATACCAAAGTTGTACTATTACTACTCTACTATCTAACTACTACAAGTTTCATATAATGATTACTCTTTCTTTGCAATTAAACAAATAAAATGTATTTCTTTTAGATATACTTTCTACTTCTCCAAATAAATGGTTTGTATATTCATACTCTTCATTTATTTCTTTTATAACTAATATTTTAAAAAGTAAATATGAAACAATCTTCACAATGAGTGGCTCACATATATACCATTTCTATATTACAATAATTCAAACTACCATTACATATAAAAATAGTGAAGTAAGTGCTGAAATATGATTTTTCATGATATGGTTGTGTGAGAGTTTCATGTTTGAAACAATTTAATCACTTATTCAGCATGAATTGCAGGCAGTAGTCTTTCAATTACAAATAGCAATAATTTTGATGCAAGAAAGAAACGATCTCAAAACTCATCCTACATTACGAATTACATAAAGTCCTTACCCTCAACCTGGAGTTTAGGATCAGGGAGTAAGCCGTCATGAGCTCTACTTTTTATCTAACTTGCTTGGTGTTGCCGAGTCACGGTAGTCATATCTGAAACTTGGATATGCTCCATATGAGATGCGTTTCCCAGCAATGAGCGATTGTATTACCCATTCTGTTGATACAACGGGTATGGAAAGCTGCTCTGCTCGCTGTTTCTCTGCCTCTGGGATGGTAGGATCAGCAACCACTACTTTTATGCTCTTGTCCAGGACTCTGTTCAGATTACCTAGGAGTAAAGAAAGAAAAACGATGTGGATGAAGATTTTGATTTGATTTGATTTGATTTGATATATATATATATATATATATATATATATATATATATATATATATATATATATATATATATTTTTTTTACATATGTAAATACACTTTGCAGTAGTTGCCTTAAACTCAACAAGAATTACAACTCTTCCACTCTACTAACCATTACGAGCAGGTTTCACTCGCACTTTGGCACCTGTGGTGTCCAGAAGGGGCTGCCAAAGTGGGCTAAACTCTGGGTTGCTGGATGTTGCAAGGAATATTCGTTCCCCGGTGAGGAGTTGCAGTGGGCCAGTCTGAGAGTCTTCCTCCAGACGGATCATCTGCTCACTCAGTTCACCTGAGTATTTTTCCCCCGCTGGAAGCAAGAATGATCTCCACGAAATTTCTTTGTTCTAGAAAAGTGGAAAAAGAATATCTATTAGTACATGGCATGTTATACCCATAGTCACAATTGTTTTTTATAAATGAATTTGTGGATCCTAGCTTTTACTCTGGAGGGAGGAGGGTACATCTGAAAACAAATTTAGTGTTTCCCAAATGTTTTCTTTCTCTTGATCTCTTTCATATTTAAATTTAATGGAAAGTGATGGATTTTGTAAATAATAAATAGCAAAACTTGAAAACCAACATAACCAACAGATTTCAAATAATGCCACAGCTAATATTATAAAATCAAAACTTGCTTAACATATGTTTTGGTATCAACTTTTATAACAATGGATGTACTCCAACAATGACATAAATTTGCCTTTTATAACTCTTTTATTTAACATAAATGTTATCCCTAGCTTTTACCCATGCCAGACCAAGCCCTGTACTGAGTGCCTACTGCAATAAGCTGTTTGAGTTAAGAATTAGAAACATATATGGGATATTTGAATTTTTAATAAATAAGGCTAGAAACACAAAACTTGAGCATATCTTAAGAGTTCTTCAGTGACCAAAATCAGGGATAAACTAGCACCACAACTATTCACTGTGCACAACACACAGCAGGCGTGACTCAGCATGGCATGGATACTTGCCATCCACCATATATATAGTCTCTGTGTGAAATGGCAAGAATGGGTACCACCAAGTATGATGGAATTTATGTAATCTGAAATCCCAAACAAAGAAATCCTACTCTACTCCACCTCCTGATTCAAGTGCCATCATCCATTTTACACAATATTCC